CCCCAAAACCCCAAAACCCCAAAACCCCAAAACCCCAAACTTGTTTTAAATTATTGAATTATTTAAATTTGGAGGTCAAAAGGTATTACATCTGCTATTTCTCTGTTTTCTGCTTCAAAATTCGTCTAAAAATAGTCTGAAATGCTCAGAATTTCATAAATAACATCCCAAATTTAGCCAAAATGGAGAACATTGAAAGTGATTATGAGTAAGGTTATCATCAAAAAGTACGGGAAATTTTATTTAGAAGCTCAGATGAGCATATTAAGTCATCATTGCCATCAGACAGCATTTGCAAGAGGCCGATAATTCATTCACCAAGTATGAACATTGAGAATACTAATATCAATAATTGCCACGAAATCAGGCCAATTGAGGACGATCAAGAAATCCCTGAAGTTTATGAGTCGAATCCAAAACAAAGTAAATTTTAATCATTTTTCTTCATTCCACATTAAAAATAGATGACTTCATCAAAAATGATATACAAAAATCTTCTAAAGTAGTCCAGCTTGAGAGTCAAGAGAGTGATGAAGAGCCTGTCAGTATCAGGAACACGATTAACTCAAAGCCTGTACTGTTCGTCAGACCACATCATCTGAAGACATCTCGGTCTGGGTCGAGGAAGAACCAGAGGAAATCTCAAGGAAGCTCATCTACCTCTCGTAACTTTAACCCTTACTCTATCCCAGCGACTAGCAGGGCTCTAGAGACTTCAAGGGATAGCTCAGAGCGTGACTTACACAAGAGTATTTATTTTTCTAATTCTGTAGGGAAGCGGTCTTTTACTAACAAAAATTCTGATATAATGTCTCAAAATCTGATCAAATAAGCAAATCCAAACAACTGTGGAGTATTTATCCCAAAATGGGTATATCTCATTCCCAAATTTCCTTCAAGCTTTGTACCTTCTGCAGATCACAACATGATTGGGAAGAGTAAACCTTCCGAACCATGAATCTGCAAGTAGAGCTAAGGCTTATCGAGAACAAGTTGAACGGAGAGAATTCGAATTCGCCACTAATCTATGGAACATTATCAACAAGTTCCTCTTCAACTACGTTGATTCCGTGATTTGTATTGACTTCTTGACGATTTTGCTATCCAAAAATCCACTAGATAACGTAGATCTGGTTGAAGAGTACTTGTCAGAGGTCTCCATAGTCGATAACATTCCTGAGGAAGAGATTCTGAAGAACATAGAGACAAACAGGGATATATTTGTAGAACATCCTTGGTCTATCCAACATTTATTCTACGAATATCTGACAAATCTGAAGCAGCCTGTGCAGATCACTAGGCAAATCAAAGGGCCTCTTGCTCAAGTAAAACTAATAGAAACTCTGAACGAGCACTACAAAGAGTACACCTTCAAGCCGAAGATCAGTAAGAAATCAAAACAGATTGAAAAGCAAAAGAAAGAAGAAGCTATTCACCATATCAACAGTTTTATTGAAGAGCAAGAAGCTCTTAAGAATGGTAAATTCAGTTAGAATATTTCTAGAGACTCCACAAATCGAGAGCTCAGAGATGTTTCAGCGAAAATAAGTCTGTGAATATCTCCAGAAGGAAGAAATCCCTCAAAGGGTCTAAAATAGATGATTGGCTCAATAGATCACATGGTATGTCTCATGTATAAGATTCTAGATCATTCTACACACAACAGGCTATATAATGAAGCTAAAATACTTGACGCAAAGCTGATGCATCAAAGAAAAATACATTGGCACTCAGGTGAAGATGGCTGAACCTTCCAGCCAAGATTAGGTAAATAAGTCTCTGATCTTTGTAGTCACAAACCCTGAGAAAACAAGAAAATTGTGAGCAGCAAGGACTAAGAGCCTGGAATCTCAATTGTCGACTACTAAGCTAAAGCAACGCACCAGAAATATTAAAGTAAGCTTTAGAGTTACTTTTAGTCTCAAAATGCAGTTAATTCAGTCCAAAATAACAGAATCATGACTAAAGCATCTATTTCCAAGAAGAAGCCTCGCCAGAAAGGAATGAAAAACTATCTCAAGATATTACGTGAGAAAGAAATGATAAAGAATCAATCAATGAATATGTCCAAAGCCCAGGCTGATGTTAACGAGGATAACCATGAAGGCCCTCAATCTTCCTCTAAAGGTGAGGATAAGAAACGAGAGCCTCTAGGAATGATGAAGAATTCAGGATCAAGGAATAATGTACGATTATACTTTATCTTTTAGATGCCAGCTCAGCCAAAGAAGACTATCCTAATCCCTTACAAACATAGTTATAAGGATAAGGACACGAAAGGAGATATTATAGGTAATTTATAACAAATGATCATTTTAGAACTTAAGATCCACTATACCAAGACAAAGTGAGGTAAACCCTTTCTTCTAATTCTTAGCGACTCTTCATGTTACCAAAGACTCCAACCCCAGAGATGTAGCCAAGGGATTCTGTAAAACCTATGGACTTGGAAAATCAATGTATGATTCCTTGGTAGCTGTAATTACTAAGAAGAAAGAAAAATGGAAGCTCTAATCGTATTCTACTGAAATCAGTTCAATTTTATTATTGACTTGAGGGGTTTTGGGGTTTTGGGGTTTTGGGGGTTTTGGGG